TATTACAAATAATACGTATAATTAATGAAAAAAAGGTTTTTGCCCTAAGGCGAGTAACTTTAGCGCATTCTCCATGATATTAAAATGTGATTTATCGATTACATTGAAAAAGAACCAAAACCCGGGGAAATTCTATTTCACAGTTGGCAGGAACGATTTCGCATTATGGCATTATGGCCTCAGTCGTGGTGTTGACTCAACCAAAATTTACATTCATTTACCAGTATTGTTAAAGAAGTCATAAAACGGAATTACTCGTTACCGCAGCTACTTACCTATATAACCACTGCTCATAGCTCTACACGAACATGCAAGAGGGAATATTGTCTCATTCTCAACGAACCAAGAGAAGGGTTTCCCAGAAAATTAGTTTTATTCAAAAACACTGATGGTCTCAGTCTTTTTGGATTTTCCGTAAAATAGGTACAAGGTGGTCTGGCCATAGAGTTGAAACGAAACGAAAAAATAGACAATCAATTTGTGTGAAAGGTTACCTATTTTATTTTTAATTTTATCGCTTTTGAAAAACTAAAAATGAACTTTTTACAATTTTGACCCATTTTCAAATACAAATTTTGCCGCAAATTTGAAAAGTAGAAGTCAGCCCTTCTTCTGAATTCGCTACTTGAAAAATCTCTTGCAATACTACGAAATTTCTCCACCCTTATTTTTGCAATTTTAACACAATTCTCACATGGTGCTGCACTCCTTCATTCATGCAAGATAAGAACTACGTGAAGATGGTTAAGATCGAAAAATTGAATCGTTCGAATTAATATCATAGAGAAATTGAAGATTTTAATGTTTTCGAAGTGTGATGACAATTGCACTATTCTTCTAAATGGGTTTGTTCGTACAAAGCTATCGAGAATCTTATATTGCATATTGCAGATTTAAAATTTGCACAGAACCTCCACGCTTTGTATCGTTTTTGCTACGTTAAATATATATTAGAGCAAATATTAGCCCATCCCGTAAAAATATTTGAGCTGTACATAATTTAATTTCATATAGTAAGATTATTAATGGCACGACGATGCCTGAGCTTTTTTCAGATGACGAATTGGTACTAATTTCTTGTAGGTTTGAAAAGCTAAGAGAAGCTCTAAATGATGACACAGTCTAAGCTAAAGTTTAACGTTTTCGAACAACCGTGAAAGCTTTTCTTTTTCTTTCCCCTCTTACAAAACGTTCCTTCTTAGGGTCCAATTAATTAATAGCTCCGCTTCCCTTATCTTTATTATGATATTAATTGTTCATTTTGTCATGAAATGATTTTAAAATATAATAAATTTGTACTTTTCACAATAAATAAACACCCATCAAAGTAATTACAGCAGAAGTTGGGGACAATGTAACGGTGTGTGAGCAGATAACGACATGATTTGTATACGGTACGGTTGTTGAGAGATGCCACCCAACGTACGTCGCGATGCCTGTGTTAGACAAGGAGCGGCTACGTAATTTATTGAGCGATAAATCGTGCACTCTGGCGGCCAAACGAGTAACTGCGTTGACACAATACTAACAGACCACTTAGTAAATTTCGTACTGCCATTTATGAGGAGCGGGATATGTATCCTAACACTGCTTCGGGGGTTGTTTTAATTAATTTGGTCTTTGTTACCATATTCGGTAAGCATCAATGCGCGCGTTATTTTTTCTCTTTTTGGTTCATTGAAATGTACTTTATAATTTTCATATTTCTCGAAAATTTAATACACTTTAAATGAGCGAGGAGTCTGTCCAAGTAATTTAAGGATGGCATACAAGTGAAAATAATCGCGATTACAGACTTTTAAAAGACTTCTCAATTAATTTTTCAGTATTTTCTCAAATTGCGCATTAAATCAGGAAGCCGAGTTAAACTCTGCCCCTTTTTTCCCGTAAAGTGGTTGAATTTCATTTCCTAGATAACTTTGTTCTAATTTAAGACAATTAGTGGGAATTTAGTAGGTAAACGAATTTCAATATATAATTTACGCACCGATAACAGCATGTAATTACCTTACCGCGCCTAATTAATGTATAACTACTTATAGGCTTGCTCAAACAATTCGTTTATTACTTCATTTTCTAGATTTTTTAAATTATGGGAGCTGTTCACAAATTCAGCAACCGATGTTAGTCTGCTGGCGATATTCATAGAAAAGAGTTCAACGTTGGGATTGATGGATGCTGGCAGTCCATCCAGAGTTAAGCTATATCTATTCACTGTGACCTGTTATATTATGAAATGAGTAAACCATGGATTAGGATAAGTTAATTGACATCTTGAATGACACAGTTTGGTTTTAATATTTCTGAACGGTGGAATAATTTCGATTTGCACTTGCATCATGCGATGACCTTTGTTCGATGAACACTCGGTGTGGGCATCATAATAAATTATCTTGATCGTCGATCCAAATGCAGTTGTTTTCTGCGCCGATGTATTTCATATTATTTTGCATAAAAGAGATGGAGATCTAAATGGGGGTAGGTCTTAGACTGTAATGCAGAAAGTAACTACATTTAGTTTTTCACGTCAGAGCAGCATGCGCCTGCACTAAACGTATAGACCTGGAACATTTAGCGGCACTTATTATATTTATAGATAATTAATTACCCTATGCATTGTAGGTATAAAATCTATACGTTTAATTATGTGTCAATTGGTATTGGAAAATTGGAATTAATGAACGTAAAACGTTTAGAATTCGGAACTCTTGGTACGTTATTGATTGCCAAAAAATAATAACGTCAATAACAATTTGGGCAAATAGCTCGAAGGGAAATATAAAACTGAATAATGCGCTCATAAAACAGTTAAGTGACGCTGTTGTTGATCCCTCTATATAGAGTGAAGTAGGAAAGATGTAAAATTCGGCATCAATCAATGTTCAACAAACGGTATGATAATGTGTTGTTGAATAAAATAACGCCATTAATAACAATGATTTAGGGAATTATTGGGTACGATTTTAGCGCCCTCGCCCTTAATTGATTTGAAGTTAATTGGCGTAGAATAATACAGCCATATTGATTAACTAGGAGATTTTAGGAATGCGCTTAGTGGAGTGATGATTGCAATATAATTTTTGTAGGAACGGGCGTCCGTTGCAGCAAAAGCGAACCGCTTAGTTTCCATAGCGACACCTATTCAGTGCTCATCATTTTTGTCAATCTGAATCATAATTTGGGGTTGAAAAGATATAGTTTGTTGATGAAGCCATTCGATTTAGTGTCTGTAATGAAGTAGAAGTTACGATGTACTCATAAACAAAGTTGTGGGTTTGTATTCCACATCACAAATAAACGAGAAGCGACTGCTACAAATCGGCACACAAAGCGGAGCTGTTTACGGATCAGGCCGGTCTCACCCTGACGCGGATATACCACTCAATTACAGGCGTGTTTATCGAGCAAAGTCACCCCCGTCGTCTCGCTGCTCATCGTTCAGTGCCGCGTTCCTAATGACCGTCATTTACATCTAATAACGTCAAGTCATGCCACTTATGCAAATAGCTTTAGCGTGATCTATACCTCAAAAAACTCTATGAAACAACTGCTTCTATTTAGCATACCACCTAAAAACTGACTCACTTTGCCAACTTCATTTTTGCGCCATTAAAGAAATTAACGTTACATAGACGTCAACAGAAATTAATTAGGAAAGAGCTTACATTAGTTTGCTTCCTCTTTTCAAAGTTTTCGTACAATTCAAGATTCCCCTTTGCTATTACCTGACAAAGTAACCTTTTCAATGCGCACGATTTAATGTAAAACGTGCAAATTACATTTTTAATTAATTGGCTCTTAAATTAATACATTTGGGCTTATTAACTAATTTTTACACTTTACCAAACAAACGCACGTAGGTACCTACCCTTTCTCTCACGGTTTTATTAATTTGCCTAACTGTGCAGACTTCGAACATGGATCCCATTAAATTCTGCTCGAGGAATTGGAAAATATGTAAATCGCGTTAGGTATAGTAATAATAAATCTCAATCATACATGACAATAATTATCTCGACACGTACACGTAATTTGTTACGGTACTTGCTACTTTTTTTTCGAAAAAATCATTGCCACATCGATCAGATCGTAGTTCACGCATAAAATAAGCGCTCGTCAATGATGTGGTTTTCACAAACATTTCCCTTTCGCTTTTCTTTCGTGCTTTAATTAACATTCTTTGATCTGTTTATTAAAAACGTTAGCCGCTCGCTTAACGATGCGAATATTATTTTTAGCATAATTAATCATATCACCTATTATATGTAAACATTCGCATTATTCAATTTGTTATGAGGTATGAAATTTCATCGCACGGAATAATTATTTTGTCGGCCTTTATTAATGGCTTAAATGAAAATCAACAAAACTTCATAAAAGCCTGCACAAAAGCCTTTTGTGAAATATTATCTGCTGAAAACTTAGATCGCTTTCTGGTCGACGGGTTGATTTAATGCTGTACGGTTAGACTACGACGTGCATGAGAATGTGGCGAAATAGAGCGATAATCGGAGCTCAAACGGCGAGCCCGCTCTAGTGGCCATTTCCAGTTGAAACGCTAATCGATGTGTTCGCTAATACCTACATCTCCTCTTACCCTCCACCCCAGTCTTCTACCCATTAAAGGACAAACGGAATTGAAATGCCAATATGATTATAGAGACGCTCCCAAATTGTAATCATGATTCATGTTCCACTGAACGTTTCATTTACAGTAGAAGAGATCAATTTGAGGGACTTTATTAATTTTAAACGGATTGCTCAAATTTCCCACATTCGCACTTCGTCACGATAAACAGTAATTAATATCGACTTATTCATTTGCAAAGAATTATTTGCTTATCGTTCCCCATGAAATAGTAGCCGTCAAATCGTTTTACAGACGCTGTAATAATATATTGGATCGATAAGGATGAAAAGGAGAGGCTTAGTTACATAACTCCAGCAATTAGCCAGTGTTTATACTTTGATGATAATCTAATCGCGAATTATTGTTTCAGGTGAAGATATGGTTTCAAAATCGTCGGACCAAATGGAAAAAGATTGATAACATCTCGAATGCCGAAGCGGCGGAACACAAAAATCAAATAGTTAATAAAGACAATACAAAATGTTCCGACGAAATACATGGTAAATTAAGAGTGCTGTCGAAACCTGCCAGTCACAGCTCGAATTCAAGCATTGAGAGTGATTCCAAAAGTTCCGCCTCGCTTGTGGTCGACTCTTCACCCACATCTAAGAATTTTAAAAATATCTTAAGTGGATGTTTACCCCTGTCACCTGAACTACACTTCCAAGCGCAAATAGATTCAGCTAAAGATGTCCTTTTAAATTTATCTTTTAATGTCAAAGACACTTCCTAAAGTGTAAAACTTAGTGTAATATAGCAACAAATTTGACACTCAAAGTACAATTAGTTGCACATCTACTGTTTATAGAAGATATTTTCATAAACCATTTAATTGTTCTAAAATATCGACCATGTTTTATATGTAAGGTATCTCTGATATGTTTGTAATACTACATTTAGTAATAAATGGTCTGTTTTGCATAATTTCTTATTTAAATTGGTTTCAAATTTTTGATCTACATGAAACTGTATTTTTATAGTTTCCTACTTGCCCTGTTGTAGTAGGGAAACAAACCAAACTCAAAACGATTCCAGTATAGGGGAAGCTTATAGTAGAGCTACCCCTTGTCAGATGCCGCACACGTACAAACCAGAGCAATATTCAATGAGTGTTAAATAATTAAATACCCATCAACGAATATTTAAATGTATAACACCTTACAAATTGCACAAGATTGAGAACCGAGAATGAACGAGACTACAAAACAATAAATGTAGCTGCCTGGTTTTACGTAAAGCTCGCGTGCATGTCGTAAAATTGCAAAAGTATTTACAATGTAGAACTTTGATGTTTCTGTATCTAGTAGGTACATTTATAGTTACCCACCGAAGAGACGTCTTATCGATTACGTTACCAATAAAATTTATTTCGTCTGTCCACGTTCTAATAAAACTATAATCACTGTGTCTCCTTGTTTTTTTGTTACTTTAAAAAAGATTTATTGGCTTGTTTTCTACATTCTCTTTTAAGGATGAATAGGAAATTTTGCGTGACGGTTGGTAAATTATTATGGATTAAATGATGCGAGATGATTCTCGTATAGGTCCGAAGTGTAAATTGTCCCCTTTATCTCTAATTAACAATATGTGTAAATAATCTTCCTAGAGCCAATAAGAGAAGCACGTATTTAAAGTCTACGTATACAGACACAGTTAAATTTAATCAAAGTTCTATCAGGATTACTGGTGTTGGGAAAGCATTTACGTGATTTTGTTACTATTGAAAGAATTAAAATGTGTTGCATAACTAAATTTTTTGGTACCTTCCATAGGTTATGTATGCTTCTCAAGATAATTTTCTTGTTCACAAAAAGCAGAAGTTATAAAATGAAGAATTTACCTACTATTATACTTTTCTTTAATGGTAATGTAAAATGTTACCCTTACTTAAAGACTAGCATCAAACCTAGCGGTCTTCTTAAAGATAGAACTAGAATCTTCAATGATTGGGTCACGTACCTAGAATTAAAGAAAACATTGATCATTCCAGGTTCCAGATTTTATCCCCCGATCGCCCCGTGGCCTGTTGCGAAAAACGGTGCCAAACAAAAGAATTTTACGAGTTCTACAATGAATCAGTAGGTACCTCGCCTGTTGTTACATTTAGGTTAAAACAAGTTAAAAAAAAGTGATCGTAAACGATTTTCAAAAAACGTATTTCCACATTAACAGTCTTTGCTCGAAAAAATAAGTGGCTCTAAACAAATTCGCTTTCAAGCATTTAACCAATCAAATCCGTCCGCAAATCAGAAAGTTAGTACTGCCCATGCACAACCTATTCTACATGTCATCATTTCAACTTGATTTTATGAGATCTTCATGCATCCATTAATTTTACAACACACCTCCTTAAGGGGTTGATTCTGTCCCCTCAGATCAGCATACCTTGTAAAACAAATTTTTTAATTTGGTATTATTTTTACTTTTATTCGAGGTATATACAAGATTTCATTTAAGTTATTTAACAAATAAAAAAATTGGATTGCGCAAATGCTCAAGCTGGGTTGCGCACGCGCAAATTTTTTTAATTCGTCTGCATATAACACAGAAAACCCGGACATTCATGTGTTCTTAGTAACAAAAATGATACAAGCTCGCATTTTTTGGGGTTTGGTCAGTTTTTGGGCTGTAAGTTTATAGCCCGTTAGTCTACGTAGCTGAAAAACGACTTTTCTTATATCTTGGAGAACATGCGTACCCATTTTCAAAGCGATCAGACGTTTCTGCCCAAAGTTATCATGCACACGGACAGACAGGCAGACGGGCAGGCAGACAGACGGACAGACAGACAACAGACAGATAATACAACATTTTGTCTCGGTGATCGTTAATAAACAGCAAAAGTGTAAAATTATGGTACATGAAAAAATTGATTTCTTACTATAAGTTTTTTAGTAAGAAACGGAGAAAAAATTCCTTCCTTGGGAAAAGTGATAAAGATGTAGTAGCGACCGGACGGATGGACATACGGACGAACAGTGGCCACAATAGCGCTAAACTTAGGTCCATTCTATCACACTTTCAGAAGTTCACAGAAAATGAAAGGTAAAAATATCTTAATTCCCTACAAAAAATCTGCGACCGTTTCAGCATCATACTCAGGCTTATAAACGAACGACAAAAAAGCGAGTCGATGGTGTCCGTCTGTCCGTGAACACGATAACTGTCAAACGCTTGGACCGATTTGGTTCAAACTTTGCATAGTTGACCTATATGCCTATTGAAAATGGGTCAAATCCAATGACCCCTTGGGGTCACGCCTCTCTGTCTCTGCCAAACGCTTGAACCTATTTAGTTCAAACTTTGCACAGTTGACCTATATGCCACAAGTAACAAGCCAATTGAAAATGGGTCAAATCCAATGACTCCGTGGGGTCACACCGAGGTACCGCCTTTTTAGACGCTCTTTATGGGTTTATTTCCCTATTGAATGATAAACGGATTATGGCAGTGCCGGATTTAGGTTACTTGCGGTCCTAGTCCAAATTTACCCGAGCAAAATGGAATGTGGTACCTAAAAATAGTATTAACCAGGAGGTGTCGATATTGAAATTGCCCATCGTGCGGTAATGAGGATGAGGCACCTCTTAAGCCAGAAAAAGAAATTAATTAGTTGATTGGACAGTGAGCAGTTGAAAAGGAAGCGTGACTCCCCATTTTTATTCGCTTCGGTATTACTTTTTGTATTTTTGGTTTAAAGGACATTTTTTTAAATTGTCCAGAATAGCGTTGGGCAAAAAAATCGATTAATCGATTATAATCAAACGATAATCGATAATCGGGTTTGATTATTCTATTAAATTAATCGATTAATCGATTATTTGATTAATCGGTTATTTGATTAATCGATTATTTGATTAATCGGTTATTTGATTAATCGATTGTTTGATTAATCAATTATTAAGTAAATTTTAATTGATTATTATTAGCTGGATCATCAGTTTACGCAAAAAGGAGCACTCACAGCTCACAAGTATTATTTTATTTTATAACGGATGTTAAAACGTCACTTTAAGCAGCTAAAATGAATTAAGATTGTATCATCAAAACTAAAGCACACCTCATCGGAGAGTAAGCTGCCTAATCATTTATTTTTATTTATTTATTTTTATTTTTGACCTTCATTTTCAAATGGGCAGGGTTTCAGCCAAGGCTGCTCTACCAACCAACCCACTATGCATTTGCAAATATCCATGCCCGAACCCGGATTCGAACCAGGGACACTTTGTTGATTATTGATTAATTGATCTGCCTAGTAATGAACGATTTGATGAAAAGAGTAATGGAATTATTTTTTATTTTTATTATTAAATAATTAACGTATTAATGCATACAAACAGATATTTATCACTCCTTGTATGTGACAATCGACTTTTGATTAAACGATTAGGTGATTAATCGATGATTTGATTAATCGATTATTTGATTAATCGATTATTTGATTAAACGATTATTTGATTAAACGATTATTTGATTAATCGATTATTTGATTAATCGATTAATCAGTGTAATCGATTATTTTTCATAATCGATTATCGATTATTCAAACCCGTAATCGCCCAGCCCTAGTCCAGAATACTCCCCTGTGGTTTACTCCGGTCATTTTTGCGCCATTCTTTAGCGCTATTATAATAGCTCATGTACCTACACTTTGTAATTATTTTAAATAGAGCCTACGTACTCCCGAGCATTAAAAAAGTCGCAACCCCAATCTCCCTTAGTATTACAATGCCGTTTTAATGTCACCCCTAGTGTTACAATAGTGGCAGCGGTATATAATTTTCTTACGAATCATATAGAAAAATAGAGTTGATGATAATTTCTCCGAATCGAAACGTTGTAATGAAAATCTCTGAAAGGTGTCTTGCAAAGCTCAAAAAGTGGCAATGAGAAAGTGTTTTTATTTTTTGTATATGTTCAAATATCAGAAAAAAAATTCAGTTTTTCTGACATATCTTCGGAAGAAATCGGAATTTCTGGTTTTCTTTAAAACATGATAAAATCTCTTTAATTGCACAACTTTTCCTAATTTCACAATCTATCTAATATTTTCTATGGATTCCGAGATCCCCACATCCTTATCTTGGACACAGCGTATATTTCAAAAAGTTAGACAAACTGTCTCTTGTCAAAAAACTCTTTCAAATTAGTAGAAAATTCTAAACAAGACTAATTACATACTGATTAAACCGCACGCCTTCCAAAAAAACAAATCTTCATTTCGGAAAAGAAGAATTGACTCCAATAGTCTAATTTTTGGAATAAGATCCGTTTACTTAATAAAAGTGGTGTGTAGGTGTGAATTCACAGCCATATCCGTTCATACGAGGTGTGAGGTAAATTGATCGATCTCGAGAAATTTGTTTAAAGGATCATTGCAGTTAATCTTACGTCACCAAGGCAACAGACTCAGAAGATCGCCGTAAATACGACATTTAGCTGAAAATCCTTATTTCCCTTTTACTGACATTCACTTTTTTTTTTAGTGCGACATACGAATAACGTAAGATGCAGTGCTTATCTTTCTAAGGCTGCCCTTCTGGAATCTGTAACAAAGAACAATTACGTTATCAAACAAGCATATGCATGGTTAAAGCGCATTTTTGGTAATACCGATCAGTATTTTATTAGCGAAGTTTAAAATTATCTATCTCATGAGTAATCTAACCCAAAATAGACTAGATCCTGCACATCTACACTATAGCAGAAAGCTTTTAGGAAAAATTTGAAGTCTCTAGCTATTGTAATTGCTGAGATCTCAGCCGAACAGCCAGCCAGCCATAATGAATATAATAGCGTATTTTTTTCAAAAATGCGCTAAAAATGAAATTATATAATTATTCATCAAGTCAAGTAGGTTG